AAGAATGTTATTTAATAGTCCTATCCGTTTATTATGCCAATCGGAAATCCTTTTCATGGCGGTAAATACTTGATCGGCATGTTGCTTTACCCAATTATAAATATATACAGATAAATCAAAACCATCAATAGACATTACCAAAAAGCACGAACGAAATAAATCTGGCGTATTGCGATTGGTCTGATCACCATTCGAGATCGTATACATCATTATATCTTCGAGCAAATGACGCTGCTGTGCGGCCACCGACATCAAAGAACTTTTACGTGAATTTGAGTTAGCTTTTTCGTTTGAGATATCTTCGGTCGAACTCCTCCGAGAATGTGACACATCACTCCCAAAACTACCTCTACGATCGTCAGGTAATATAGATTTACATGAACCGTATTTTGTATTCATCTCCTTCAGTCCGGCGATCAATAAGTATTGATGTGGAATAGATATCGAATCATCCGGAGTAAAAATAGAATGTTTTGGTCGATATATTTCATACATTGGGGAAAATGATGCAGGAATAGTTCGAAGTATTATCGGAGTAAAGATGACGTTTAATTCTACCAGAAGCTCATGGACTTCACTTAAGAAATCATCCATCATCCAAGAAGGCATGTCAAGCCTCGCGTGCAATGCATGCAATGCCGGATTTTCTAATTCAATTGCTTTCTTCAAAAGTGCCAAAACTGGTTCAATAAAATTATGTTGAACGTGTGGTTCGACACATTCGATCATACTTTCTGAACTAATGGTGTCATCTTGATCAAAGTTTTGAGCCACTTGAATATTATTGCTTTCAACACAATCTAAAGAAACCCGTCCCAACCCTTTAGTTATGGATACTTCGATGAAATAGTCACAAAGGCATTGTCGAAAACTTTTTATGATTCTATCAAGTATTATGCTATAATTAAGGGTACCATGGTTCCATAACTCAATTAATATTTGATATGAGGCGTCTATATTATTATCATTCGAATCCTTATTTGAATCAGAAACTACAAACCATTCATCATTAGATATATATTGTAAAATCTTATTCGAATTTATATCATCTGAATCAACAATTTCAGGGACTAAAAGTTCAAAAGTGGGTCGACCTTGCCGATTCAATAAAGTGAAACACAGTCCGGCAATCCCTTGACCGACTGATGCTTCAAAAGCAGAGGGAGTGCGGGATTGGCTAATGTAATTATAGAAGAACGTAAATTCATGAAAATGGATATCGTGTGTTGCGGATGGCGTTTTCCTATTTATTCAAGAGAATTCAGTTTGAGAAGGGAAAATATTATCGTTAAGAAATGCGTACGGTATAAAATCTAATCAATGCATACCTCCCACTTTCAGAGATCGATTCCGGGAATTCAACTGATCCATATTTTGAAATATGATGACGCCTTATCGCGTTCGAGACTTCTAGTCCTTGCAAAATGTTAAGGTATAAGGAAATATTTTGCTTAAAGTACACTAAGAAAGCATAAGTATTCCTTATATACGACGGGATCTTTAAAGATAGGCGACGAGGGGTTTCCCGAATAGGAAAAATAAAGTTCACATCCTAGGAAAAAAAAAATAAAAATAAAACAAAAAACGCACAAATAAATAAACATGAAAAGTACGAAAAGTTCGATTGTACGAATTGTATAAAAATTTAACTAACTGCACGAGTCGGATTAACCTTGTACGGGTTACGAGCAAGGAAAGTAGACATCACAGTAAGAGTTATACTTGAATTCAATTTGTTCTCCAACAATGCCATTAGCTCTTCGGTAATTTCTTTGCCTGGAACATCTAACCCAAAAACCTCTACAACTAATTCTCGTGAATCTGCCACTCGAGTTTGAGTTCCATGTTTACGAGAATTTGGGGAAGTATTAGGACTCCCACCACTTTTGCTTGATGGGGATTTTCGTAATTCATCGGCATTCGATTGTAATTCCGAAGACAATGTAAATGAGGAGTTCTGACGTGAAGAATCATCTAAACTTTCATCATCAATATATATCGGAGACGCTTCTACTTCTGATAATTTGAGATAAACGATATTATGATTCTTGGCTATTACAAACATATGTTTCCTGTTAGAAACTACGAATGGATCGAGGATCGAGGATGCGATACCATTAAGCGCTTGGTTCGGTCTTAACCGCCAATGAAGCGGAAATGTTTGTTTATAGACCGATTGACACTCAAACTGTCCTGGTTTGAACTTTTTTGAAACCGTTATGTTTCCATCATTTGGTGCCATTGATAGTACATCCACCAAGTCTCCAGAAGATAAATCACTATCTTCTGAAGATGACTCGGAATCAGAAGAGCCATCAGGTGGAACCAAATATTTGCTAATCGATGAAAGATCAAAAAAAAAAAAAAAAGAACGATCGATAAACGTACATCGTTTAATATCATGATTTTAGTAATTTAAATAACCCCTTACCTGCAACGACGTGTCTCATTTAATTCATCCAATAATATTAATCTATTAATCCTTTCTGAAATTTGTATTATACAATTTCGCACATGTTTGATGATATTGGAACGTTCAATTGCTGAAACCGCTTTTGAATAAAAATACATTTGTATAGAATTTTCCTGTGGAATGAGTAATAACCAAAATAATTGCTTGTGTATAACATTTTTCTTGACAGATGATTTAACGGTTTGATCAGCAGGATCCGGTACGAAATCATTTTCCTCCGGGGAATAAATGCTAATTCCGAGACCTTGACAAAGGTCACCTTCACCACCATCGTCAGTATAATCATCATACGCTTCCTCCTGATTGTTAAATGCTTCTATAGATGAGCTCTCAAAAATATTATTTAGCTCAAATATGGGTGATGTAACGCAGCTATTGTCTACAACAGCCAAGGATTCACCCTTCTCTTCATCTTCACTTATATAAAAGCAATCTTCAACCTGATTTAGTGAAAATGGGGACATATCAGCTTTGCTAAATTCTTTTAAGAATCGGTCCTGTCCTTGTTTACGACGAACAAAGGATAACGGAACACTAAATGTAGTCGGAAAGTCGACGAATGGATTCTTGGGCATCAATTGTTTTTGAATGAATGAAAGAACCGATTTTTCTACAGGTTGTGATCTCAACAGTCCATGCATCATTTCTTCTTTCAATAACCAATCGATTCGATCTCGAGTTTCTGACAAAGCTTCTTTTTTATCGGCAGTAAGTGAATCCAATTGCGGTAGATTTTCAAGTGCACTATAATTTAGATGATCCCATGTGAGAAAAAGGGAGGAAAACTTTTTTTTTTAACGAAACAATAAATAATTTCTGAATACCTTGTCTCATTATCACCCACATGGAACCCTGGAGTCATCTCATCGAATCGGGCTAAAGTCAGACATATCAGATGCAAAATAGCGGTAGTACCATCAGAAGATTTAACAGGAGATGTTTCCGTTCCGATTGATTTTGGAGAAAAGTCATGAAATTTACCATCCACTGTACACAAATAACTTGTTGGTAAACTTGAAATGGGAAATTTCACAGAACTGGATCCTTCTGATTCAATATCCTCAACCTTAAGAGTTGATGCTTTTTTGAAAGTACATTCAAGTCGTAAAAATAAAGGATTTTCTGCATAATTAAAAACGTCTAGAAAAGTTCCAGCGATATCGGCCACATTATCGTGAATATCTTTTGATAAATTATTTGGTTTTTTGAAATTTGGACGATAATAATATATGTTTTGCAATTCATCATTAATGAAATTAGCCGGTTCAAAGTAATGACCAAGCACAGCAACGAATTTTTGATACACGTCATTGGCATCATCGCTAAATGATACGATTTTAATGAGTAAGGATTATTGATAACTATTCATTGTAACATCGAAATATAACGGACACACTAACCTATCTAGTCCTTGCCGAGCAGCCTTTACGTGTACATTGACATATCCTGTGATATCTATATCAACGGAAGTCTCCATGCAAGCATCAATCGCTTTAAGAAAATCGGTTTCTGTAACTCTATGCTTTTGTAAAATACTTGCGTATACAGATTTAACAAATCCGTGTACATATAATTTTGTAATGTTTAAAGTGACTTGAGCAACTTGATCTGAAAGATTCGATTTAAAAGAATTTACAGGATTTTCGGGAAATGAACTACTCAGTAGCTTTGGCTCTAAAGGATTTTTAATTGTATCCGGGGTCTTATGTAATAAAGAGATGGTTTCAAAGGATAGAGTTTGATCTCGACGAAAATCCACCGGCTCTTTTATAAAATCTCTTTGAATAGGTTGAGGTCGTTTACACAAGAAAATTAAGATATTCATGAAACACGGTTTATTACTACTAATCAACCCATTATTTAGTTTCATGGTGTCTAATAAAAGTTTAAAAGAAGGAATAATTACAAGTAGTAAGGAACCAGAATCAACGATTTTGATGAAACATCTGGTATCTCGTAGGTTCCTAATATATTCTATTGTAGACGTAGCCTCCTGAAGAAAATCAATTTTGGAAAGCCCATTATAAATTTCCTTTAATAACGAATCTTTAAGACCGTTGTTATTAGTATCAACTTCACCATCAGCATAGTTACTAAAGGTTTTTTCAACAAAAAGATGTAATAACGCGAAATCTCGATCCAAAGGACCTAAAGGAGCAATAGAATCGCGACTAATAATATAAGTTACATCATGGGTTGAATTATTGGGCAACGAAAGTGACAATTTCTTTTGTGATGCAACCTCCATGTATGGAGAATTTCTATTACTTATGCTACCCTTTCTTAGATAAGGGCTTGATTCGGAAATCAATGGAGACCTTGAATCTCCAAAGCTCGATCTCGGAGTATTTTCATTGCTCATATAGGATGATTTAACAGATTGTAAATGTAAGTGTTGATGAACCTGATTATTAATGATGTTTGACGAAGATTTGAAAGTAGGAATGTCATAATTTGCAATTAGTAATCCGCTGGATCTTAGTAGGACTGGAAGGTTGAATAAACTTGGGAGGTGGGACGATTTTTGAGGGGTCAAATTGTATGAATTCCGAAGATGTGAAACGCGTGATTTTGCAATATAATGTATTTGATCGAAAGTCACCAATTGAGATAACTTTTGACGATCCGCTGTTGATATTCTGTCAGCAACAGATTCGTAAAGTTCCCGTAGGAACGGTTGCTGCAAAGGTTCCATCCATAGTTCGGTTAAAATTTCACCGGTATATGGATCCTTATATATATGATGTTGTATGCCGTATAATTTATTTAGATTAGCAGATGAACCTAGGTCGGAATTTCCTCCAAGTTCCAGTTCCCGATAAAATACTTGTTGATTACTATTTTCGGATATCAATAAACATCCTTCATCCAGACGTGCCTGACACAGATGTTGAAAAGCCAAGTCTTGGATTGGCATGTTCTTACTATCCAATGAGAAGATATGTTCAATGTCGGACAACCAAGTCCACCGCCAATGTCTTAGGTAAGATTTTACAATGCAGTCTCGACCTGTCACCTGACGATTATCTAATAAAATTTCACTTTCATGACGTCCATTTTCTGGGTACTTAATAAGAAATGAAGATAAGGGTCTCTTACAAACGTAAAATAATTGTCCATCTCCATCTTCGTTTGAATTTAACTCATTAATAAGGTTAATTAAATCTTCCAACGCTTTTTGACGTTGAAATACCTCAACGTTAAAAAATGATAAATTACCGGTTACGAGACTACCTAGTTCTTTGTTAAATCGGAGTTCGCAAAAACTTATTGGAAGAATCTTATCACCTTCTAGGGGGTGAAAAGCCTTAACGAACCCATTTTCAGAAAATGAAAATGATGACCATGCAACTTTCAGTCGTTCTTTTAAAGCCGAGTAAGCACTATTATCCGATGGCATTTTCACAGATTTATTAGTAATTGATTGCTCTCCAGATATCAAAATATCGAATTTGGCCTTATCATACCAAATATTAATATTTTGTCGCATTAAACTTTGTTCAAGTGGATCCCATAATTGCTTTAACAATTCTAATCGGGTAAACGACGAAGAAATACCGTTGCTAATTGCGATTCGATATAAATGATATTTGCTATTTTCCTTAGATACCTTATGGAAAATATGTTTCTTTAGTAACTCATCCGTTTCGTAGATCATTGTCATAAATTTATGTAATCTAATACATTTTAAAAAGAGTGGATGGCTTGGATCATTATTTTGCTGAGCTGTTTGAAAGTTAAGTAAATATATTGCTAATACAGTATCAGCTACAACGTTAATCTCAATCCTTGGTGATTTTAATCTTGAAAATCCGTTCACTTCCCCCATCCAGGATGCTTTAATTTTATATTGAATTATAACGTTTGGTAACCAAAGACGTGACATTGTGATATGAACCTTTTCTGCCTTGTTGGTGTTTCTACCTACTAAGATTACACTCTCAATATTAAACCCATTACGTATCCGAGCAAATATCAGTTGCATCACATCAATTGAAAGAGAGTACTCTCGATATCGCGTTGACATTGCTTCAACTGCTGGTGGTAGACTTCTTGGATCCGGATCCCATGGAAAATTATAAGTCCGTTCCCCAGAGTTAACGGTGTTGTTTGAATAGGAGGTATGACCCTTTCTTTTGGTAAAATAAGTTTCCTTCATCAACAAGTTTATATGATAAAAATTTGGTGGGACCAAGTCTTCACGTGATAAATGAAATTTGGAAGATTTAACATTCCGCACATTTGGACAATCCTCGGAATAAAGAAATTTGCCTGATGTTGCTGTGGCAACAAATTGTAATATTTCATTATCAGGAAGAAACCCGAAATTACATCCAGGATTACCTCCCTCAAGCGGTCCTACTTGAATAATATTGCATTTAATACTTTCCTTACAAAGCATCTGAATGATATCATCGTCAGGTGACATCTGGGCTAGATTTGATTTAACAACACCATCCGTAATCACCATCAGCGCGGGGGATCCTTCTTTTGGCAATAAATTTATAGCTAATAAACCAGCATTTAGACTGTAAGCAAGATTACCCCCACTCGACCCCAACCGCCATAAATTTTTCTCATCTAGATATGACGTATTAGAACCTAGTTCATGCTCAAGCAAATCGGTTTTGGGACCAGTAACATCCATAACGTAGGCAACAGGAAATTTGTTCCTACGAAGTTTTTGTCGAAACTCGGCAACTTCATGTTGAAAGCGAATAAACTCCGAGTGTAAATTATCAAGTATATCGAAGATATTATTTCGATTAACTACAACTCCTTGTATAAGAACCCTCATCGTAGGAAATTCAGCCAACATAGGAATAAGATTTGCGTTTGATGCAAAATTGGAACATTCAGCAATAATGGTAACTGATATTTCGGGTTCAAACTACGTACGATATATGATTTATTAATTTTGGGAATATTACAAAATCCATCAACAGGATTGTATAATCTTATGCAATACCTGTAAGGCTCGATCCTTATCCAAATCCTGAATTATGAAAGGCTGTACTAGGCCTTCAAGACAACGATGAGTACTACAGCATAATAAATTTACTTATTAAACACAAGTCAAAAAAAAAAAAAAAAATTTCATGCCATAATTAGATAATCAAACCTTTTTCTTACATTTGCATCACTTTAGACATTATTGTATTTTTAGCACCGCTACAATCGATGGTAGCTAAAGAGGAGGTTACATCCAAAAGGAATACGAATCGATATTTTGTACTTAAAGTGATTATACGAGAATGGGGCATGAGTCTGTATTGTTTATCCGTTGAATGCTGAAGATCCGGTAAATTTTGCGGCGTATATATCTCGCTTGCTTCCTTCTCATTTTGACTTTGTATTAAAGCCGTTAAACGCGTATCCGATATATGAAGCACTTGAAAGTTCTATTGTACGATAAAAGTTTTCAGGATTACAGACTGAAAATTAATCAGAAATATCAAATTATTCTTAGTTTGCTATATTTACATACATCGTCACTTTCTAGAAGTAGAGGTTGATATAAGCGAATAAGAAGCCATTTATAGTGATCTACTTTCGAAAAATTTGACGCGTTCTTTACAAGTAAAATCACAGTTTTCGCCTCTGTATTCTTGTTCATATAAAATTGTTTAACGCGTAAGTCAAAACTAGATTATATGAAAAAAATTTTGCATTCAAGCACAAGTAAACAAATAACCTGTGCGCCGTTTGTTTTCTGATGTGGAGACAACATTTTTTTTTGAAATTCGACGAACTATTGTAGTTAGGAGAACATCATTTATAATATGATATCATTGATTATCTAATGTTTGTATCATGTAGTAATTAACTAACACGTGATGCATACTTTAAAAAATTTATTCGAGATTTTACGTTACGAGGTATTATTTTAAGGACGATTACAAGGTGAGATATAATTAAACCACATTTATTAAATCCGTCATGTTTGAAATATTGATGTATTTCACTAATATTTTGTATATGATTTGATTGTTCCTTAGGAAAGGACAATCGCGTGGCTTGATAGTTGCGAATGAAGTTTCGTGATCATATGAAAATTTCCTCAAGAGAAATATTGCCATACATAAATACAGTATATGGAGTCAATAAAATAAAGAATAAAAATTTGCATATTACATAAGTTTATTAAAATTAATTATTATTCTAATCTAAAACCCTTGCCTTGCCATATTAAGTAAAGAAGAAGCGAAAGATGATGTTGAAGAAGTAGATTGTGTACTCGATTTTGAAGTAGAAGATTGCATACCAACAGCTAAATCACTATCAGTTTCCGATTCTTTTAACTTATTAATATCATCAATATAAAGTTCCGCATCTTTCATTAATTTTTCTACATTCAATTTTGATAAAGCTCTCTCTCTAACTTCTTTGTATCTAGGATCTGATGAAACCGTGTTATCATCCATCTCGACTTTCTTATAAAATTCGGTAAATAATCTTCTTAAATTAGAATCTTTTAATACACTTGTACGTTGAATGCTCAAAGCCTTACTTCTGTAAATTATTGATTCTAATTTCCTCGTTAGATCGTTTAATACTTCCATATTACTTCTTTCTTCAATTTTATCAAAGAATATTATCGCTAATGATAATGCGGAAAATGCTAATCTCCTATAAAAGTATATCGAACAATAAAGAAATTCTATATTCCCATCACTATCAAGTTTAGAATAGTCGACCGAAGCGAACATGAATAATTCAACCATTCCACAACCTACTAACCAAATTACTCCATAAGTTCTCCAATGTGATTTACGTTTCAAAGTTGTCGCAACCCCAAGTACAATCGCCATTATAACATAAGACCAAGCGATATTAGGTACGATATATATGAAATAATCGGTTAAATCATAACAATATGAACAATCGACAAGTGCTTCTTCCCCGAAAGTCGCATATATTAATCTATTTTCATAAGATTCAAATTTTTTTAATAAAATTTGTTCATTATCACCAATAGTTCTGTTATTTTCTGTTAAGATCGTTGTTAATATCTTTGTTGATGTCTTCAATGATACTCCTGTATCCTTGAATATATTTGGTGGTTTTACCCAGATCGCATACATAAGTTGCAAGATAATATTACTTGTTAATAAGAGTATTATCAAATAATCAAATCTTGTATTATTTCGTTTGGGTTTGGGTTTGGGTTTTTGTAGTTTAAACGCTCTGTGTTTCATAAAATCACGTCCCTTTTCTATAATAAATGGGAGCGTTAGAAGCACTAGTAACCTAATTAACTCTGAAGAAAACATTTTTTTTTTTTTTTTTTTTTAAATGTTAGAAAGTTTTTTTTTTTTTTTTTTTTTTTTTAATGAGAATTTATTTATTTATTTATTTATTTATTTATTTTATTTTTTTTTTTTGATGCATTATGTATGACGAATAATATTATTTAATTGATTAAATGATGATCTATTAACCCTAAAAAGCTCCTTTTAAATTTAATTTTTTTTTTCAAGTCAAAGGTCAAAGATGTTCGGAGCATTTAGAGCAACCATGGTAGCGTGTGGTGGTTTATTATGGTACTAATTTTAATTTAATTTATTTTTTCATTTTACAAATGAATATACTACTTTATTCGAACTTCTTTTTATAAACCGATAGGAAAAATCCTTCAAACATGAGTAGAACGCGTAAAGCTAATGTACGTAAACGGTTAAGAGCTGTAGATACTGTCATTGAAGCTTTGTCGAAATCAGGCGTTAAATGTAAAGCTTTGGTATGTCAAATATCTTTTTTTTATTTTTATTTTTATTTTTATACCTTTGATTTCTAATAATCATTAGGTTCTATAGGATTACGCTCGTTCATTACCTAAAGAATCAGAAATGACACCTCGTGACAAATATACTGTCTTTAGTAGAAAACATAAAGGCTATAGAAAATCTTTACATAAAGTACCAAAATTCACCAAAGTTACCATAAGAACAACACCTCCTGGTTTTTAACATAAGGATTGGGTCATTTTCGCTTATAAATTTTCGAATGGTTTAAAAGTAACACTTTGATGAAAATTTTGTTTGTCTTTGTTCATAAAATAATGCGTAAAAATAAATATGAATAGTTCCCGAATAAATTATAAATAAATAATCAATTCTAAGTATAAATTGATTGCTAAATCGTATCTTGATATGCTATAATAATAAATCGAAGTATCAAAGGAGATAGTAAGGTAATAATTCTATTCTTGTCGTTAATACTTTGTATTATTGATGCTTTTGGTCTTCTTTAGTCTTCCTTTCAACATCGCGTACCAATGGCATAATATTCAATATATTTCTTATTGAAAATCCTCTAACGATTTTGATCCCCGGGTATCACCAATATGTAGTTTGTATGAAAAATTAATTATAAGTAATATACTACAGAATTATTAGTTATAATTTTGGAAATTAGTTTTAAATCCTTGCGATATCTGAAATGGTTGATAAAAGGTATTTTTTTTTTATTGTTACAGTATTATAATTGTATTTTCTTATCAATAGCATAAATTTAATTGTTAATTAATTAAATAAAACAATTCGTATTTATGAGTATATTATTCTATAAGTTTTTAAAAAATAAAATTTGTTAAATCATATTAAAAAAACAAAAAATAAATCAAGTTACCTTTATTTGTGATTTCTTATAATTGGGTTTTTCATTTTTTTCTAAAAAGAATCTAGTATAAATAATAAGAACGAAAATAATAATAACTTTTCCTTTCAAATTTTAAGTCAATATTATAAAATCATATGATAATATTATTATTGTTTATTATTGTTTATTAATTATTATTATTGTCTAATTCATAATGAAATTAACTGATTATTATTATAAATTAATAATATTTTTGATATTAATTATTGCAAAACATAATAACTTATATAATTTTATTTTATATATTAATAAATAAATACAAAAAATTTCAAAATCATATACATATACAGTAAATTTTATTATAAATATTAATTAACTTTATGAATATTCACTTAAGTTTTAATATTTAAATATTATTATATTTAAAAAAAAAAAAAAAAAAAAACTTTACTTATTTAACAAAAGCTAATTTTATTTGATTAAAGTTTTAAATTACACTATACAAAAATATATAAATATTATTTTTATTATTTTATCACATTTTTTTAATAAGGGTTATTTATCTTAAATAATTAATTAAATTTCTCTAAAGTCAGTAATTTATTAAATAGCAAAGATCAGTTAAGAATAGCTTAACATCCTAACTTTTATTTTTAAAATAAAAAATAATAAAATCACTATTTTTATTATATCAAAAATGAAACTAATATATTTTCTAGTATTTTTTATTAATTAAAAATTTTCTTATTTAATTTTTTTAATAAATACTTTTTCAGTTGTATTATTATATATAATTATCCAAATAATTCAAAAATTAAAATATAGTATTTGCTAAATACAGTAATAACGGAAAAAAATGACAATTTTTTTATAACTTAATAATTTTATAAGTTTTGTGCCTAGAGACATAAATTTAGTATTATTAGATTTATCTCAATAAAATAAATTTAATGAGCTATAATTCATTTTCCTATGATTACTAGAAATAATAAAATATCATAAAATGTCATGTGTAATAAATGTCAATAAATACTGCTAATTTATTTAGTACTTTATTTCATAATTATATAAGCTTTGCACTTAAAGATATAAATTTATTATCAATAAATTTATCTTAATGAGACAATTCTAATAAGCTATATTTTATTTTCATTTAATCACTAAATACAGTACAATGTAGAAAATATATAGAAAATTATTAAAAAAATATATTTTTTTAAAATCTATTTTGAAATACATATAATTAATAATAAAAAATTAGTATTACATGATAGATTATTATTAAATAATTATTATATCTTAAAATGTATATTATAAGATATAATATATTAAATTTTAAAGATTTTAAATAAAAATCACATGAGATATTTCCTATTATTTAATTATCAGTTTTTCCATTACCACTGTAGTTAATTATATCATTTATTTATAATATTTATAAATGCATTTTTATAGATATATAATTTTAATAAAAATATAATAATTTATATATAATAATTAATTTAATATTATTTTTATTTATAAATTAATTCTTAATTTATTATTAATATAGTAAAAAAGATTTCTTGAAGATATTACTTTATAATTATAATAAATTAAATAATTTAATAGTTTTGAAAAAGATATATAAAAAGCTATTAATAAATTAATTTATTAAATACAACTTAATAAATTATTTTTAAAAACTAATTGTATATAAATATCATATAAAAATTGATTATAAAAAAATTAAACTTATATTAAATTCAAAAATTCAAATTCAATAATAATCTAATCAATATTTGATATATATATAATAAAACATTTTTAAATTATAATAATATTAATATTTAATAAAATATTGTTAATTATTTTTTATAAATATTTAGTCAAAATAATTTTATAAAATGCTTAAATATATATAAAAAATTTAAAATAAATCAAAATAAATAAAAATAATAAAATAAAAATTAAATTTTATCATTTTCTTTTAATTTTACTTAAAATATTAATATCTATTTAAAAAGCAAAAAAAATCTTATAATAATTTTAGAAAATATCTTTTATATTAAAATTAATAAAGATAGTTAAAATATTAAAAGAAAAAAAAATCTTGTAATAAGAATTTTTTTATTTATTAATAAAAAAGAAAATATTTAAATTAGATAATTAATTTAATTATAATTTATTTTATATATATATTATAAATAAATTAAAAAAATAATATAATTTATAACTTAATATATATTTTTATATAAGAAAAAATTATAATATATTAGATAAAGTTAACAAAATATTTATTATATAATTAATTAACTTTTAAAAAAATAGAATTAAATTTTATTTTTTAATAATAAAAAATTTATATATATTAATTTTTATAATAGAAAAAAACTACTAAAAAAATTAATTTTACTTTTATATAATAAATATAATTTTTAGATTAAAATATGTTTAGATTTATATTAACTCATTTTTTATTTTTTATCAGCTATTTTCTTTTCTATTGTAAGGATTCTATATTATAAATTTTTCATATTTATCTATTAAAATACTAAAGATTTATAATTTTTTAAAATAATAATAAATAATTTAATTAATATATTAATTAAAAAAAATATATATAATCTTAATATTTATTTTGAATTTTATTGATTTGCTTATAATTAAAAATAAATATTATTTAAAATCAAATAAAAGAAAATACTAAAATATTTTCTATAAATAAATTTATAATTAAAATACATAGTATAATTATTAAAACTTTATAATATAAATTTTATAAATTATATGAGAGTTTAAAAAAAAACTATTTTATATTAAAGAAAAAATTTTAAAGTTTAAAAAAAATGTAAAAATTGTATAAAAACTTTTTGTTAGTTTATGATAAGTCAAATAAATTCTATAATAATTATATTAAAATTATATAGAAAAAAATAAAGTTTTCTGAAAAATCTAAATTAGATTGATAATTAATTTTAAGTTAATATTAAATCAAGGTAACCTGTTATTTAATCAAAACTAATTTAACAAAATTTAGTTAACCAATTATTCAATTTGAATAATAATGAATTATTCAATTAAAATAATGATAAAATTTTTTCTGAAATAATAATAAATTATTTAATTAAAATAATGATAAATTATTTTTTAAATAATAATAAATTATTCTTTTTTAATAATAATATATTATTTTAATTAAGATTGTTAAATGAAACTTAGAGATTTTACAAGTAATTTAAATAATAAAAAGTAAAATTTAATAAAATTTTATTAAAATTTTATTAAAAATCTGCAAAATCATAAAGATAAAATTACATTAAAGTTTATAAAAATGTAAAATTATATTAAAATTTTAATAAAAAATTAGCAAAGTTAAAGGTTAAATATTTTGTTAAATTTAAAATAAGTTTAGATAAGTAATTTTAGTTTAATTAATAATAATAAATTATTTAAAAAAATAATTTAATCAAATCAGATCAGATATATCAAATCATTTTAAATAAAAAATTAAGCAGATTAGATTTTTGCTTAAATTAATCTAATTCTCTCAAATTAAATATTTAATTATTTAACTTAACTAAATCTATTTAAAATTTTAGAAAAGACAATATTATATTTTATATATATATTCTTATAATGTGTACTAGATAAAAATAATTTTTTGCTATTTGTTTATTAAATTTTATGAAAATATTATACATAATAAACTTAGTTAATTTTAGTACTATTCAAAAGCTTTATTTCTTATATATATATATAATAACTTTTTTAAAAATTTATTATTATTTATAATTAAAATATAAAAATAAAGAAAATTAAAAAACTTATATTAAATATATATCACTAACTTTTATTGTTTAAAATTTACTGTTTTTAAATATAAAATGTTAATTTAATTATATAAAAATAATCATAGAAATACAAATATTAGTTAAATTTTTAATATTTTAGAGTTTATAATTAAAAGAATAATTAAATAATATGATAATACAAATTAAATATAACATTACAACTAGTTGCAACTATATGATGTTTATTTATCACCAGTTATAATTAGTTATAACTCAATTTTTATTAATGTTACAATTAGTTGCAATTTTGTGATGCTTATTTATCACTAGTTGCAATTAGTTGCAGCGTTATCTTTTATACAGATACATCTTTAAATAAAAAATAAAGTAATTGATCTTTATTATTTAATGATCATAACTGTAAAATTTTAAAAGAAATTATTATTAAAATAATAAATCTTAAGCTATTAAAATATAGAAAAATTTTCAGAAAAAAACTGATTAAAAAATTTTTTTATTTTTTTAAAAAATATCATAAACTTATTTTTATTTAGTATATATATCTTATTTTATATAATCATTAAAAGAAAAAGAATTTTTATTTAGTTTTTTTATCTAGTAATATAATAAAGAAAATTATAATCAGATATTTATAAATTATATTAATTATTAAATTTTTATTTGATTAATAATATTTCTAATAAAATAATTTTTAAAAATATTAATATTTATAAAAGTTTTAATAAATTATTTTAGTTTTCTTACTTTATATTATTTAAATATAAAAATAATATTTAACTAAAATTTTTATAATTTAATTATTTTTTATAAATATTTGATTTAAACTTATTATTAAAAAAAAAGTATGATAAAATAAATCTATATTTTAATTATTTATAATATTATGTATTAAGAATAAATTAAAATACAATTTTTATTTTTTACTTAATTTCAAATAAAAATAAAAATTATCAAATTAACTTATAAGATTAAAATCAAAATAATAAAATAATTTTTATTTTATCCAAACCAATTATCATAAGTAATTATAATTTTTTTACTGATAACAACTTTTTAAAATAAATAATATATTATATTTAATATTATATTAGCATATATAAATATCTTTTTGAAGTAATTTTTTATAATATAAAATTTAATTGATAATTTTATAGTTTCTTAGTTTTACAAACTCTAAAAAAATATATTTAAAAAGCTGATTTAAATAAGTAAAATTAATTTGTTATAATAAATATATAAAATATTTTGTGTCTAATTATAATATATATGTAATTAATAAACTATATGTATTTTACTAATATTAATTATATTATTGATATTTAATTTGTATTAATATTTTATGATTTCAAATTCAACTTTAATTATTTATATTTATTAGAATTTCATTTTACTATTTATAAATTAATTTTAAAATCTTTAAAATTTTACAAAGTTATTTTTTGAAATTGAAATTTAAGATTTTGATATTATATTATCTCAAGAAATTATTTTTTCAGTTTTATCATATTTAATATAATAATTAGTTTATATTTTTTATAATTAGATGTAATATTTTATCAATAGTAAGATAAAAAATATTTTAGAATTATTTTATGTTATAATAGTAAAAGCAAACTATAAATATTACTATATTTATTGAAAAGAATTTACTAAAAATGTAATATTAATATCAAGAAAAACTTTACTATTTATTTTAAATATATAACTAATTTTTCATGTATATATTCTTAAATCTATTTTTATATAAAACATTTGTAAAGTTAAGAAAATGTTTATTAATTCTATTATTTAAAATATACTGGATGATATATAGAATAAATAAGAAAAGAAGCATTAAAACAAGATCTAAATTTTTGTATTATCAAATTTATTGACTTATTATTATTTTAAATGTAAAAGTTAAGTATAATAATTAATTCATATTCATATTTCTTTAATCCTTTTAATTTGATATATCATTTAAAAAACTATTTAAATTCAATTTTTTCATAATATATTATAAATCTTTTTGATTTTTAGAATTACAATTTGATCCTTCAAAAAATTGTTTTAAATCATGAATAATATCTAAAACAAAATCATTATCTTCATAGTCACCTAGCTCTAATTGAATTAAATCCTATAATGATTTTGGTTGTTTCAATATCTATTAACCTTGTTTTTAATAATATATTTTTTTTTTTTACAATTATTAATAGTGTAAAAATTTCAAAATTAAATATCACGAAAGGTCCGGGTAACCCGATTTTGAAATAATATTTTATTTAGCTTATTAGGATTGTTACATTAAAGGAATCAAATAACTATTAAAACAATATTGACTAAGTTATATTATTATGTAGTACGAATGATTGACTGCTAGGAAAATGCGGCTTGAAATATCATTATACTAAAAAAATTAGTTAAATATTAATAAATTTACATCAAATTTTTAATTAATATAATAGAATTTATATTTAAACTTTTAAAAAAAAATAAAATTAATTTAAATTAATTAAAGAATGTATTCAAAATGGGAGGATTTCTATGAAACAGGTTCCGAGAAATTTTTTGACTAAATTTAAGCTTATGCATTTTAATCTAATAACATCAAAAACTAAAATGCAATAAAATCTAAAAATTCCGGAACCTGATTTTCCTAGCAATCAACCCAATGTCAAAAAAACATGTTTAATATCTTTAGTGTAACAATATTTCAGACCCGCATTTTCCTAGCAATTATATTTATAATACGCTAAATGTAGTAGCACTTACGCTGAGTACTTTTGGCGAAGCAATTTCGAGTGAGTATATTCTAGATGAAAACAATATTGCAAATGAAATTGATGATTCTTGTATGAGATGAGAGATGTTCAAGAAAGCGACCTGACTTTGTTACTGATGCAGGTAGGACAAATATCAACAAAATAAAGGGGAATATGGCTGTGAGGTAAAAAGAATGTGGGTTATTACACAAGCATTTGGTATTCCCACTCTGTTTATTCGCTATAATCCAGATATTTACAACGGAATTACAAAGGATAGTAAAGGATAGTAACGATAAAGAGAGAAAACAAGAATTTTAATATGCTTGCGCGTCGCCTGCTGAAAGAATCACAATTCCTTCGAGTTATATACTTATTTTATGATGGATATGATAGCTCTCTCTCTCTCACTCTCACTAAATACAAGATACCAGTACAGCACATACATTATTATCGAGAAAACTAGAATGAACAAAATAATATATCTTTTAAATCATGTATACAAGTGTATACAGGTATTGTGACGTTATTGCTACACATTAGATTTATGCGAATAAAAATATCTTTCAAAAAAGTACCAGATATGATGAGACATTTAATATAAATCCACACTGAAATGAAATTAGTAAACACTTTATTCTGTGAAGCAAGAATTCTTAAAAACAACGTAAATTTAATAATATGGTAATTTTTTAAACTAAGTTAGTACTGATACTCCATTATAACTCCTAATACTGAATTCCTAAAAACAGTTAAATGGAATGTAAATATTTTTTTAAGTTACGAAATATTTCTTTTGCTGAAGTGTGTTAAAATATACATTTAATCATTATTCTGAATATCTATATCCATCACTGTACATACGTTATAAGATGTCATATATACGTTCTCAAGTATAAAAGTAGCAAGTGCGTTGGGCATGAATGGTTCATGAAACCTTGATTCACGCAGACACTGTAAATATAAATCTCGTGTTCTCGTTCCTGTATACAAAGAAAGTGGCACTACAGTAAATCTTGATAACAAATAACTCAAGAGTAACCTAACCACTCTCCCATTTCCATTCATGAAAGGATGTATATATAAGAAGTGAGTGAGAAAACACGCCCCGAATTTGATAGCTTCATCTAACTCTAATTCCTCTTCCTCAAATTTTTCTCGACACTGACGGAATAGCTCTTCTATTCTGTTCTCTATCAAATTTGGCCTCAAATAAACATAATTTTCTTGTGCCGCCATAACATATTGCGTTCTGTACCGACCCGCATTGTCAATCATCCCGTTGCCAATTTGTTGATGCAACTGCTTTGCGAGCAATGGCGTAAAACGATCTATTGGAAGGTTAGGAAAGAAGGTGGACGGGAAAATGCCGTTAATGGTATCATAAAGATTTTGGACTTTTTTAACTAGGTGCGAAGAACGAGAAGGACCAAATATTATTTTATGGATTTTGTTGCCAAACGTTATTATGCAAATATAACTAGTCAAGCGTAAAATAGGTGTAAAAATTATTCTTGGAAAAACTATTCTGCAAACGTATTTCAGAAAAATTTTAAACCATGATTTCTTTAACAGCTGTTTTATAACATCGATGTCTATATCGCCTTCCGCTGAAATGCATTCGATTAAATAACGTTCGCGTTGAAGGTCCATGAAACCCTTCCAAAGAAGTTCATCCTCGTTATTAATAGATAATAATATGGTTTGTTGGAGACGATTGGTATTTAAGATGAAATACTGAGGAACGCGGTCGTCATAATCTGGTCTCCACCAAGGTTTATTCAAAAAGTCAAATTTGGAATGTATCAAAGCCATCTTGTATAAAAAAGATTTTATTTTCACGCGTATTTATTCATCAGCGGGAGTTAATTCCCGTGATATTTATTGCTTATATTTAAAAGTTAATGAATATAATTGAAATAATCATATTTTAGATTTTTTTTTTATCAATAATATCATAATCTTATTTAGAATTCTTTATTTTTATTACAATATATAATATAATAATAATACAATAAAAATAGATATAAATAATAAAATAAAAATATACAATTATAAATTTAAAAACTTATAAATAGTATGGATTTTAGAAAAATAAAGTCATGATTAATTTTCTGCTATATATATCATATATTAATTTCAATATCTTAAACACCTAGACTTAATCCCAATATTCAATATCTTGATATACTACAGAGGGTCACCAAAAGTCTCTGAACACTTTTTGGGATAACATAAAACTCAAAATTTAAAGTTAAAACTGAGAAA